GAACAGAAGGATGAAACTGCTTGATGGCTATTGGAATTCCAAATAGAGGGCCAGGGATGGAAAAGATAAATCTGATAACTACATAAACCAGATTTTAGCCAGATAGAATTTCCTCTCAGATTAACTTTTCTGTGAAAAACATATGCCGAAAAATAAAAGAAAGGACACCTCCAGGGCAGCTGGGTGGCACAGTAGATAGAGCACTGGCCTTGGATTTGGGAGGACCTGCATTCAAATCCAGCCTCAGACACATAACACTTACTAGCTGTGTGACCCTGGGCAAGTCACTTAACCCTAGCCAACAAAAAAAAAAAAAACAGAGAAAGGACACCTCCAAGGCTTGATATCTTTATAGGTCTCCCATTTCTAAGAACTCTTCTTCTAGATTTCATTTTATCTTATTTATTTTTATTTTATTAATTTATTTTTAGTTTTCAGCATTCACTTCTATAAGCTTTTGCATTTTAAATTTTCTCCCCATCTGCTTCCCCAAGATGGCATGCAATCTGATATATGCTGTACTTATACATTGCTATTAAACATATTTTCACATTAGTCATGTTGTAAAGAAGAATTAGCACCAATAAGAGGAATCACAAGAAAGAAGAAACAAAACAAAACAGAAGGGAGAAAAAGAGCAAACAGTACACTTTGATCTGCCTTCATTTTTTTTTTTTTGATGTGGATAGAATTTTCCAGCATGGAACTTTTGGAGATGTCATAAATCCTTGAATTGGGAAGAGCCAAGTCTATCAAAGCTAGTCATCATACAATGTGGCTGTTACTGTGTGCAATGTTCTCTTGGTTCTGCTCACTTCACTCAGCATCAGTACATACAAGTCTTTCCTGGTTTTCTGAAGTCTGCTTGCTCATCATTTCTTATAGCACAATAGTATTCCATTACATCCATATACCACAACTTGTTCAGCTATTGCCCAATTAATGCACATTCCCTTAATTTCTAATTCTTTGCCACCACAGAAAGAGCTGCTGTAAATATTTTTGTACATGTGGATCCTAGGGAAAATTATTTTAAAGATTAAAAGTATCTCCCAAGGAGATGGCAACTTCATCACTAAAATATTTTAGTATTAGGCCAGAAAAACTCTCAAGGACCAATTTAGCCTGAGTGATGTGCTCTGTGAGGGCTTTCCCAATGATATGATATTTGAGTTGAGCTGAGACCCAACTCATAAGATTTGATTTCTTTGACTTTATGAATCTAAAATAAGCCCCCTCCCACCCAGTTTAAAGACTTTATGAAGTCCAATAGATCCACAGAATTGATATATTGTGTATGGAACTTTCAGAACCTCCAATGGATCCATCTTCTTAGCATACTTTTAGACAGGCTCTTCAACTCTCAAGAAGGGGCTATAATGAAACTCTTCTTCCAAGGTTGAAGGTAATGGAGAAGCATCTTCATTATCTCTCATTTGAGTAAAGGCCTACTTTTTTTCCACTGTTGCATTTTCAGTTTCCACATGCAAGCTGCATTAAGGTTCTTGATGGTATATTGATGCCCATAGAACAGTTAAAATGATAAGTGGTCAGGATGGTAGTCAACTTTACTACTCTTATTTGAAAATTTCCATCAATGTTTGGAAAAGCTGTATCTAGTATAGTGATTTTCTTGGTATGGTCTCCAGTTAGAAGGATGTATGTTCTTGTCTTCCAAGACTAAAAGCAACTTAACTTTCATGGTTCCTTTAATTTCAGCCTCTACATGAAGGCTAAACGCTAGGCCTGACCTGTTTGAGCAGTGGTTGGAGCCCTGGTGTATTTGGGTTTGTGCTGTGGGATAGAATGAGTAAAACAGATTTGTCTTCTGCTGAGATCCATGAAGACTCCACTGTCATGGGAAGAGATATTGGCTTCTAGTACATCCCTAATGACTGTTGAACACCCATCTCCCACAGTATAACCTCTATCACCTCTATATTGCCAAATCTATCCTTCTTCTTATAGCTTCCCAGAGGGGTATCTCTTTTAACAAAGAATAAAAAAGAGGAAAAAATAAAACAGTTTAATTGAGAGACATGTTAACAAATTCCTAGTTATATTCAGAGTTCCACACTTTATCATGCTGTGATTTTTATATTTAGATCATTCCTCTGGCTCAGTTTGTAATGGTATAAGTATAATCTCATTCTTTACCAAGCTATTAGCCTTTTTATTTTCAACTGTGTTTGGTTAATAATGAACTCCTTTCTCAGTCATTTATGTTCTTATGGTTTATCAAACCCTATACTGATTAGTTTGCTTCTCAGTATTGCTTATCTAATTTAGTTCACTAATATGATTTTGTTTTTCATCCAGTATCAGACAATCTTTCCTCCCTTCTAATATATTCTCAACACAGCTGCCAAATTGATTTTCCTTAATCACATTCCTGATCATGTCACTCCCCTATTTAATAAACTCCATAGTTCTCTATTGCCTCAAGGAACAAATGTAACTGTCTCTATTTCCTTAAATTTTAAAGCCCTTCAAAAAGCTGGCACAAACCTCCTTATAGCATTATAACATGTTAGTGCCAGTCCAACATTCTACAGTTTAGCCAAACTGACCTTCTTTCTGTTTCTCATACACAACATTCCACCTCCTTCTCCATACATTTGTGACAGTTATTACCTTTGCTTGAAATGCATTCCTTCCTCATCTTCAGCAAATAAACCTTATTTCCAAACAGTTTAAGTACTACATTCTTAATGAAACCATCATTTATACCCTACACTCAGCTGTTCATATTTTCCCTCCCAAAATTATCTGGTATTTTTTTTTATTTATTTATGAGACTGCTAGGTGTCAGTGTATAGACTGCCAAGCCTAGCATAAGGAAGGCTTGAGTTTAAATAGAATTCAAACACTTAAATACGCTGTGTGATCCTGGGCAAGCCATTTAACCTGCATTTGCCCTATTTTCCTCAACTGTAAAATTAGAATAACAGCACCTACCTCATAAGGTTGTTCTGAGGATCAAATGAGATATTTGTAATGTACTTAGCACAGTGCTTGACACATAGTAGGCACTGTATAAATACTTATTCCTTTCCCTCTGCCTTGAATGTATTCTGTATAAAACTATGTTTAGCACTATACTATATATGATCTCCACAAAGAGAATTTATTCCCTTGAAGGACAATAATGTTTTAGTTTTTATCTTTTTGTCCTGCATGTAAAACACGGTGCCTGGTAGATAGTAGAAGCATACTACTACTACTACTACTACTACTACTACTACTACTACTACTACTACTACTACTACTACTACTACTACTACTATGTCTGCTACTACCATAATAATAATAGTAATGATAACAATGATAACACATCAAGCATTTATATGGCACTTTAATGTTTGCAAAGTACCTTACAAAGATTATCACAGTTTATCCTCAAAAATACCCTGTGAGTTAGATGCTATCATTCTTCTCATTTTACAAATGAGGAAACTGAGGCATATAGAGGCTAAGTAACTTGCTCAAAGTCACACAGCTAGTAAACATTTGAAGCAGAATTTAAACTCAGATCTTTCTAACTCCATGTCCTCTACTCTTATCTGTTGTACCAACTAGCTATATAATATGTATGAAACATAATAAGTACGTGTTGTTGAGTGGATTATTTTAAACACATATTAATTTGGGTTACTCAAATTGTCATTATTATTATTTTAACATTGGCGTGAACATTGAACACTTTTCTGTTTAGGTCTTTCTTAATTTCTGTAAAAAAATGCTTAATAAACCTTACTTTTATATAAAACTCTATTTACCGGTCACTTCCCACATATTTATTTATATGTGTTTGTGATTTTAAATTGCATTTTCCTTTTAATATACTTTTACATTTTTGTTAGTAATATATAGAAATGACAATGTGAATTTTTCTTCAGTACTACTTTAAGTAATTATCTGAATTTTTTGTTGATTCTCATGGATTTTCTAAGTAAAGTATTATGTCATATGCAACAAGAGATAGGTTTTATCTCTCTTTTTCTAAGCTCACTGTCTTATTTTTTTTTCTTTCCTATTTGTTATAGATAACATATGTGATTTATGTAAAATTGTATTGGTAGAGAGCTCTAGCAGAAACCTTTCAAGTGTTTCTCCATTCTAAATAAAGTGAACTCTTAGGTTTGCATAGATGCTCTTTCATCATGCTATAGAAATTTTTTTTCATTTTTCTAGTTTACATTTTCAAAATATGTCAGTGTTCTGTTTGATCAAAGGCTTTTCATACCCACTGATATTACATTTTTTTTGGTTTTTAATATAAATTATGATAGTTTTTTTAAAAATTTTGAGCTATAGTTGTGCACCAATTACAAATACTACTTGGAAGTATTTCCAAGATTTTATTTATAAGTACAATTAATATTGCATAATAATATTGGTCTGGATTCTTCTCTGCCTCATCTTTAAATTTCTTGGCTAACATGACAATATTTGACTCAGAGAAAAGATTATGTGCCACACTATCATTCTCTGTTTTTAAAAAACAGTTTATGCAACAGGATTTACTTGTTCTTTAAATGTTAGAGTTGATTTTTGAGTCTCCTTTCTTTTTAATGAGTATAATTGTCTTAATTTCCCTTTGAGTTCAGTATGTTTAGTTTATTTGTGTATGTTTTCTACATTTTTGGAATACATACATATCAATTTTATTTACATTTTCAAAAAAATTTTTTGATATATTATAATTATCTATGATTATTTTCTTTATTTAATCTCCATTGGTAATATTGTCCCTTCTGATTTTACATTTGTTTTCGTGATTTTTTTTCTTTCTCTCTTTAAAGCAAAATAAATTAGTTAAAATTTTCTTGGTTTTATTGGTTTTTAAAAAAGTTGTTTTTTAAAAGTTTTATTTTATTTTACCATTAATTTCTAAAGGTTCCCTTTTGCTTTTGTTTTCCCTTTTAAACTTATTGTTTATTTTTTCTTTATTATTATATTATCAATTCACTATTCATTTCTTTTTCTCTTTTGTTCAGGAATATAAATTTGCCTCTGAGGACTGCATCATCCCATGTATGTTGGTATGTTTTATTACAATCACCCTTATCTTTAATAAATTTTTAAAATGATATGATGACTTTGTCTTTTACCTACATCATTATTTTTTGATGTAGTGTTTTGTTCTTCATTTAGATCTGCATCTTTTCTTCATAGTTCTTTTCTAATTATAGTAATGTTTTATTGTTGACAAAGAGATTATTTCAGATATATGCATTTCTGCATTTATAAGTTCCACATACTCTCTGACGTGATTTTTTGTTGTTGTTGTTGTTGTTCTGTGCTTGGTGAGGGAGGGGAGAAAGCAGAGAGAGAGAAAGAGAGAGAGAGAGAGAGAGAGAGAGAGAGAGAGAGAGAGAGAGAGAGAGAGAGAGAGAGAGAGAGAGAGAGAGAGAGAGAGACTCTCCAAGTCTCCAATCATTTCTCTCCATGTGTCTTTCAAATGCATATTTTCCAAAATTCATGCTTTTATTTCTGTTCGACTGAAAAGTTGAAAAAAGTCAGCATCATGTAGCAAACTTAGCATATGTTAAAAGGGGTATGGTATCCAAGTCTAGGAAAGGAAAGGAAGAAGAAGGACATAAGCATTCATTAAATGTCTACTATGTTCCTGGTAAGTTGCTAAGAGTTTTACAAATTTTTTTTTAAGTAAATAGTTGCTCTGTACTCTATTCTGGTCAAACAATGTCTCCAAAAATAATGTTTAGTTCTGGAAGTCCCATTTTATAAACACTAACAAGGTAGACAGCACAACTCAAATAGAAATGAGGGCCACGTATCTGTACATAAGGACCCTCTGGGCTACATATTGATTTAATTTTAAAATGTAACATTATCCATGTTTTATTGTGTTTTCATTTATATTATCATAGATTTCCCAATTACATTTGTAATATGATTCAGGCTGCACTAAGGATTGTGGGGGCAGTATGAAGGATTCCTAATTGACTCCTCTGATCTAGAGGACATCCACAATAGTGAAGTACTTGAAGGTTATGAATGTAAGAATTAGATGAAGGAACAAGGTTGTTTACTTGAAAGTAGCACACAGTTACTTCCTTCAAGTATCTGAAAGGCTGTCACATTGGAGACAGAGGGATAGCCTCTGCTTGTTGCTGAAAGCTGAAGTAGGATCAAAAGGTGGACATTGAAAAGAGGCTAATTTAATGATTGAAATGGGGGGGGGAGCTTCCTAAAATTTAGAGTTATACCAAAGTGAAATGAGCTATCATAGGTAATAGTGGGATTGCCTTTTCAGTCGGTATAGGCTAGATGACTACTAATCGAATGTTTTCTAGAATTTATTCTTGTTTAAAAAGAGGTAGCTTGTGGGAGGAGGGGGGTTGTAGTGAATAGTATTGGAGGTGGACCCAGAAAGACCCCAGTTTGAATCCTGTTCACACACTTACTACCTCTGTGACCAAATAGGTAAAATACTTTGCAAACAATAAAGTGTTATAAAAGTGTTGGTGGTTGTTTTTATTATTTTTGTTGTTATTCAGTCATGGGTTGGACTATCTATGAGGTTCTTTCCAAATCTAAGATTCTGTAATTCAAATTCTATTAGGTCTCGATAGATGAATACAAACATTTCTAAATATTACTATCTCGCTATTTCTTTTTGCATTTCAACTATTTTTTTAAGTACATTGTTGCTATATGTATCTGTATATATCCCACCCTCATGGTCATTTTAAACTTCCTTGGGAGCACATCAGTGTCTTTTTCATCCTTATATACTGCTCCCGCCCCCCCCACAGGTGCTTATCAGAAGATCTTCATGTTTTTATATACTTGGTAAATGTTTGTGAAGTGTTATGGAATGAGGCAGACTATCCTGTAGATCCCTAAGGTCCAATGGCCTTTTTTCAACTTATCAGTTTGTTATCAAACAGCATGACATATGTCAGCCTGTACTGAATCAGGCAGGCATTGGATAAAAAAAGAAGCTAAAAAAAAGTGTCTATTAGTTGAAAAAGGATAAGAGAAAATAACAAAGTAAACCAACCCAGTTAAAAATATTAATTTCCCAACTTTGGAGTGTGAACATATTGACTTGATGTGATTACCATTTTGTCTGGTATAACATCAGTTTGACAGAGGTAGGTTATTCATTGAAAACACATGGGAAATGACAACTGTGATGATCAAGGCAGGGCACCAACATCTGCCTTTTCTGATCTGCCTGTTTGTTATTATTCTCTCCTACCTCAGACTTTTTATCTACTTCTCTGGGCATATGTTGTTTTCCTCCAAGCAGATGAGACCTCCTTTAGGGCAGGTAACATTTTCCAGTTTGTCTTAATATTTATATATTTATAATTATTTATTATTTATATTTTATTCATAATTTATTTATAAATCATTTATAATTTATAATTAAATTAATAGCACAGAGTCTGACATATAGTGGCTACTTAATGAATACATATTGACAGGAAGTTGGTTGAAGAGCAAATATTAGTACAGATGATATAGACTGCTGTCCATATGGAAGAATTCAGCATATATCTACCCATTGTAATGCCTTTCTTACCCCTGATAAGATAGATTCAAGGACACAGAAAAAAATAATACAACATGAGGCAGCTAGGTGGCGCAGTGGATAGAGCACCGACCCTGAAGTCAGGAGGACCTGTGTTCAAATGTGACCTCGGACCAAACACTTCATACTAGATGTGTGACTGTGGGCAAGTCACTTAACCCCAAAAAAAATAATAATACAACATTCCATCAGAGAGTGCTTCTCTGAGTAGTAGAATCCTGAACTCCTCCTCCCACCCCCTGGAAAGGCAGGAAAAACTTCCTTTGAGGTAACAACTTGAGGCCTCTGACCTTCAATTCTTTGGTAATGAGTCATCAATCATCATACTGTTTTTCTATAGATGAGAAGATTTTAAAGTGTTAAGTAATAGTTAAAAAGTATCACTCGATCTAATCAGCAGATATCTCTTACTAAAAGATTTTTTTTAACCCTGTGTCTCTGTTACCCATTCTGCTTTGGTCCCCACATCATTCCCATTTTAATATAAATTAGTTTCTCCAAACTTTCTGACAATACAAGCAAAATAGTTTTTTTTCTTTCTACTAATTGAAAAAAGAATATTAATAGGTTAAACAAAAACTAAAGGGAATGCTAGTCTACTTTTGAATGAAGTTCCTCTTTGGCAATATAATCTACATTCAGACATGAATTTGCTAATTATGAATCTGTCTTAACTATTTGCAAATAGTATAGGAAGTTTTGCCCTTTTTTTCCTTGTACCACAGTATTACTGTGAAAAGCCTCAATTAATCAGAGCCTAAGTGGAACTCTGGTTCACCGGGGTTTAATATGGCTTTAGCTGTATTTGATGATAAAGGAAAAATTGATAAGAAATCAGAGTACCATCATAAATCTTGTAGAAAAAATATTAAGGTATGTGCCAGGTTTATGAAACATTCAGGTTTTTAACAATTTCATATTTGGATCCATAGTATTTTATAGTGAGAATTGTTGTTTAAAATAAACTGTGTTCTGCCTTTTCAAATGCCACCAAAAATAAGAAAATAAAACATATGCATAAAATTTTGTTCAGTCGGAAATGATGAAATGCTTTAAAGACACATAAACAATAAAATAATGCAACATCACTCTGGTCATTTATTTCATTGAAAAAGAGCCACATGTTCCAGTTAAAGAAAGATAATTCAAATTTTGTTTAGATTTCTTTGCTAAAAGTGGTTAAAATAGGAGTAAGAATGGATTCACAAAATCAAAGAATTTCTATTGTCAAGAACTTATTTCTAACCGTTATGTTTATATCTTTGAGTGACTATTAAAACCTGAGTCACAGAAGAACTACAACTTAACCAGACTTCTAGATATTTGAAGGTCATAAAGAAAAATTAAGTAGATTTTCATAGCTACTTTTGAAACCACTATGCTATACTAATGTCCAAAGTAGTTAGGTGCTAATAATACCATGACAACAGCCGAAGTCTGAAGAGAGAAAAGCTAATGGAAAATAATGTGTTTTACATTTTGGTGGCTTCTACTGAAATCAAAGATACTCACAAATCAAAGATGATATATGTCAAAACACTGAATAGATTTTCTTGAACAGTATTTCTATAAGAGCTTGATCCAAGTATCACTCTATATTCTGATAGTTGCTTCAGCAGTCTGAAAATAGCAACCAAAAGATGCCAATCCTTTTGTTAAATAAACATAAAAGGAGAGTTCCAGTTTTAGACAGCTAATCATGTGGTTTTAATTTATTTATTATATTGGTGAGATTGAAATGGGGAGATCTAGGTGACTGGAGCTACAATCGAGCCAGGTAAAAGGTTTCCATTGCTGGAGAAATTTAAGGTTAAATGAAGACTTCACCTATGGATGCCAAGCAAAACAGTGATTATCATTCTGATAACCTTTTCCCAGTGTCTTATACAGATAGGATAACTGATATAGTTAGAAGGAACTCTAGAATGATCTGTCACAACATAATTTTACAGATATGCATAGAGGTAAAGTGATATGGCCAAAGTTACAGAGTCAACTAGTAAGTTGCAGAGCTGCTACTCCAACCTAGGTCTTTTGACTCCAAGTCTACAATTCTCTTTATACATAAAGAGTCTCTCACTCTCAACTTTCTTGTGGGCAATTCAAAGGAACATGGTCCAAAGACAAAAGAGAAAATAAGCACAGCTTGGGTGACTTGAGGAGAGGGAAGATGCTATGATAAAGGCATCAAGAGGAGGATTACGGGAACACAAGGGAAGAGGGAACTAAATCCACTCACTTTAAATAATTAACGGTCCTTTCTCTTTGGGACATGCAAAAAAGGCTAAAAGTCAGTGGGAAAAACCAAAAGAAATATATGACTTCTGTGAAAGTGGCTATGAATTTTTTTAATTCAATAGCTTAACTTTTGCTTTTGTACATTCAGATTAATAGTAGGTTTGTTGTCTTTTAGCTTGAGCTGGACTATGAGATATTCTCACCTCATTGTCAAATTATTTTCACTTTTGTGCCCACACT